AGAGAGTGGCTGCTGGAAGATCCCATGTCTGGCAACAGAAACCCGGTCATGGCTGTCCGACAATTTCTACGACTACACCACACCCCATCCCCCTAACTCCCCCCAGACTGGGATCCCTTCATTATTATGTATGGTGCGTAGTTGGCCGAGAAATCAATAAAACTCCTTGGTAACCTCTAAACATGAACTGAAAGTTCGGCGGGGTCTGTCAGCACTCAACAACTCAAACAAAGAGACCATCAGAAGAGTTGATTCGGTATTCCCCCCAAGTTGTTTTGGAGGCCGTGGTTGAAGTCAATGGTCATTTTATTTAATACGTTTATTCTTTAGTGTTTCAAGATGTTTTTGGTGCAATTTTGAGACTACCATTGTGTTATGGTTCGGTTCCTTGTCCCCCAGAGGGTTGAGAGTCCAAGGCCGAGAACCAATAAACGAATCGGGTTGGTCTCGAACACAGATATAGAATAACACATATATATTACAAACAGGAATATATACAGAGAAGTAGAAGTGTTAGTATGAATAATCAGGTTTAGTAGAGAGAACAATGTAGTCTTGACCAGTATCACTATTCCAATGTCTTGTAGTAATTGTCTGAACGCGACTCTGTTTCAGACTGCCTCTGACTAGACTCTTGACTCGACTTGAACTACTGACTCCTTGCCTATCTATCCCCACGAGGGTTGCAGTATTTATTTAAGTATGGGATAGTCCATTACCCGATTGATATTTCTGCCCTTCGGCAATCTAGCCCCCTATTTCAGACGCTTGTTGCCATGGATGCAGAAGCATGGTTGATCCTACGACCCCACGATGGTTTACGAGACTCGCACTTTATTTAATATAAATAACGATATTTAACACAACGTTATTTTCTTAGATCCGTCCGGTTATTTTTCATACTAAAGTTCGACCGTAATCTTTCTTTTCTTTTCTTTCTTTTTTTTTTTTTTTTTTTTGCATACCACCTCCACCTTAACGTATAAACGTACCTTGGTCGGCTCATTCTCTCCATTCGGGGGGTCTCGTCCGGGTTACTCTCGGGCAGGAATGGTCAAGAAAGTGGCCTGTCTTTCTTTTTTCCCCCACGGATTGGCCGAACCCTCTTCCCCGAGTTTCGCGTATAAACAGGATCGGGTGGTTGTAACGCCCCCGAACGAGACTTTTTTTTTTTTTTAATAAATGTCCGGTGATCAAACTTTCTGAAGTCAAAGGCAGAAAAAACCGAAAAAAGAAGTGACAGGAAGGAATCTAACGAGGGTTGCAAGTGAAGGAGAAGGGGAGTTTAAGGAAAAGGGAAAGGGTTGGTGAAACTCCCCGAAAAGAGACTTAACATCTTAGGGGTCTGGTGAGAGACAAATTAAACCAGAGCTCCTCATTGGTTAAAAGAACCATCAGGAAAACACATTAATTTGCCAGATTGGTAAAATACTCAATAAATAATTTTAAAATGCTAAACGGGATCGGGATTGCAATAGTTCACCGACTCTGCCCAATCGGAGGGTCTCGTCTGTTGTCCAGAAGGCCCGAAAGTTTGACGTCCCCATGAGACAACATTGAGGAGGCATTCTGGGGGGTTACCACGTATTGCTCAAACTAAAGTTTAACGAGAAACCGGATCATGTCAACTTGAACGAGACTCTGCCCTTCGGCACATCAAAATACCGGTTCCGGCACGACCGTCACCGAGAAGTTAAGTGTTATGGTCAGGTTAGGACCGAGTTTAACGGAAGAACAACACGAACACAAGGCGGGGTGTAGCTCAGAAGAACGACCGTGGTATATTACACGTTGATTCGGTAATACAAGATGTGGAAGGTGTTAGTTTGACTATAAACAGGATCTGGTTTAGTCAAACTCCCCGAACGGCTCGACTCGATTCGTCCGTATCTAGCCAGAGGCAGGGTTCGACATCAAGCCGAGGCCGAGTTTATTCGGGGTTTCCCCCCCGTAGGGTCGGCATGTGGCACAAGGCCGAGTTTAACGTATAAACGGGATCGGGTTGGTCAACCTCCCCAAGAACGAGACTCTGCCCTTCGGCGGGGTCTCGTCCGGGTTCCTCTCTGCTCAGAGGCAGGCACCGTCAAGCCGAGAAGCTCGGTTCGACCCCCCCACGAGGGTTGCATGCCGAGGCCGAGTTTAACGTCGGGATGATTCGGTATCCTATCCCCCCTTCGGCGGGGTTGCATGTGGCACAAGGCCGAGTTTAACCCCCACGTTGCATAAACCGAGGATCGGATCGTTGGTCAACCTCCCCGAACGAGACTCTGCCCTTCGGCGGGGTCTCGTCCGGGTTCCTCTCTGCTCAGAGGCAGAGAGATCGACCGTCAACCCTCTCTCTAGAGAAGCGTAGTATACATAGGTAAGGACCCATGACATTAAGCAACGTCGAGCCTGGTCAGTACCGCTTCAGGTAATGTCACGGTTCTGTCAAAGTTAAGGACGTGCGGGTTCAGTTTGACTTTCAGCCAGATGACGATGAAACAGCTGCAAGATTGGATGCTGGACCACAGAAGTTAAGCAACGTCGAGCTTCCCGTACAATCACTGAAGTTAAGCAACGTCGACCTTGTTCAGTACGTAGATGGGTAGCCACTTAGAAAAATCAGGTGCTGCAAGATTGGATGCTGAAACACCCCTACGACCACAGAAGTTAAGCAACGTCGAGCTGGGACGTGCGGGTGGTTTGACTTTCGGCCAGATGACGATGAAACAGCGATTCCTGAAATCACTTAGATGTGCGTCTGATGTCTTGTTCAGACGTAGATTGTTAATCGGAAAAATCAGGTTCAAGTCGGGTTCGTTATCTTCGACCACAGAAGTAAATAACCGAGCTGGGAAAGCGGGTGGTTTGATTTCGGCCTCTTCTCCCCCAAACATGGATTAATTAGTAGGACTTGTATCACTAAATCATTATTATCTTTAAAATAAAATAAAAATATATCTAAATTCTCTATTTCTAAATAGTTACAAACAGCCTGGCGCACTAATAGCCATTTACTTATACTTCATTGACAATCATTTAAAAAAACGCTAAGAACAGTACGATATTGTACGATAATAGTACATTCCATTTCTGTGAACACTGTCACCACTTGATGCTTACATTTTCTCAGCTGAGTTTGCATGGATACAAGTTGATTTCATTGATATGGAATTATTCTTCGAATAGGCAATTTATTATGAGGTTATGCCAGTAATAGATAAGGTAGAAATGATTTTGTTACTTTTATCATCATTATATTTGATAATGTGAATCTTCTCATCTACGCCATTTGTTACCGCATCAAGCCGAGGTTAGCCTAGCGACAACGAGACGAGAGGTGCGAGATATGAAGCTATTGGAGTAGAAGAGACGGATACATTTAGTAGTTTCGACAGTGAACGAGTGAGAGCGGGATGCCTGCCTCGTAGGACGCTTGAATTCGTGAAGTCTGGGAACCAGCGAAAGCAGCTCATCGAAACAGTTACCATGAAAGTATTTGTAGAAAAGACAGAGAGAGGCGACGGCGCGTCTGTGGAAGAGCGACTGTAGATGAGATGCCAGATCAGGGCCAATTATATTGCATATCCGCCTCTGGATCTTATCAAGAACCCCGAGGCAAACAGAAGGGGCTCCAGACCATATAAGGCAGCAATTACTCCATGCAAAAGCGAATTGTTGATTTGTAGATCTGGAGGATCGATTCCGGGGAGAAAATTTTCTTGGCGCGGCACAGGGAGCCAACTTTCCTCGCGGTGTACGAAGCAATTGACTCAATGTATTTGTTCCATCTCAGGTCAGCAGTCAACGTGAGACCGAGCAGCCGCAGAGAATTGCTCTCGTGAAGTTGAGCGTCAGACATTCTAATGGAGGGCAGGGAAGAATCTCTGTGGTGATTAATAGAGAGCAGTTTTGTTTTTTGAGGCGTTAAAGTTAACCAGCCAATTCCTGCCCCAGTTCACAACCGATTGGAGGTCCTTTTCGAGACGAACGGCCAGGTTAGTTTTGTCAGTGATATTGAGGATTTAAAGATCGCCTTATACGCGGTAATATACAGTAATTCTGCCAGGTTTTTATCTTCATAATTATTCGTTTTTCTGCCGTTCTGATTGAAATTATAGCAGATTAGGAAAAAAAAAACCCGAAACAAAACAAAAAAACTACAGCTTCTCCGCCGTCGACCCTACAGAAGAAATAAATACATAAACAACTCAAGTAAAAGACTTCAGTTTCTTAATGAGGAAACCTCTGCTGTCTTCACCGCCATATTCACGAAGAATGTATCGCTTAACAATCAAAGCGTCCAAGAGATTTCCAGGAACCTTTGCTCGCTAGTAATTGTCGGAGAGATAAAAAGGAATCTTTCCTATTTGAAATTGAACGAGACAACGTAACTGAAGAACTTTTCCTTTTTTTTTTTTTTTTTTTTTTAAAGTCTGTAAATTTCTGAAGGAATGGAACTATCCTTTTCAAAGATATTAGATACTTCAGCATTAATTTGCCGATTTTCTTTGACGTTATAAATTCGCACAAAAATATCAACTTTTTTTTATTTTTATATAATAAATTATAAAATTATCTGTTTATGAATAATAAATTCTTTGTTTTTTTTGTCTGAGTTTTATTGGAGTTTGTCTGAGTTTTGTTCGACAGATTGTTAAACCCAACTTTATATTAGATTTCATTGGACGAATTTCCATGTTTCTTTTTGTTTTTTTGGTTCCATCTATGTATCTACCAAACTTTCTCTGGTGTTGTTGTCTTATGGCCATATCACGTTGAAACATAGGTTCCCCTACGATCATCGAAGTTAACCAATGTCGAGCTCGCTCGCGAGTCCCAGCTGCTGAAAACTAGGACGTTTAGGTTGTGTAATAAGCTTACAGACACATCCCGTTGAAACACGGTTCGCATACGATCACCGAAGTTAAGCAACAGCGAACCTGGTCAGTAACTAGATGGGTAAACGCTTGAGAATACTAAGTGCTGTAAGTTTTGGATGTAGAGACTGTTTGGCTTTGCGGCCGTATCACGTTGAAACGTCGGTTCCTGTATGATCACGGAAGTTAAGCAACGTCAAGCCTGGTCAGTGCCTTTATGAGTGACCACTTGGGAATACCAGGTGCTGTAAGTTTGGGTGTACGTATGGTTTGGTTTGCGTCCACTTCACGTTGAACATCCCGTACGATCACCGAAGTGAAGTTAAGCAACGCAGAACCCTGCCAATGCTTAGATGGGTGACCGCTTGGGAATACCGCGTGCTGTAGGCGGGTGGTGTAATGGATAATGGCTCGGAACTGTTAATCTTCAGGCCGAATTCAAATTCCAGTTGGCTCCGTCTAATCCTCTTACACGCAATTACCCTTCGGAAAGTTATGAATCCACCTATTCTCCTCCTGCTATGGGTTACTTAGTAAGGCATATTACTAAATCATTATATACACTATTTACATTATTCGGACTATTGTCCTCATCTTTGTCGCCATATTTATTACAACGTTTCGATCGTTGTACGCTCCGGCCTTCTTCAGGTGGTTGAAACGTCGAACAGAACCCTTTATTTCGCTCACTGAAGTAGACTTGTCTAATGGATATCAGTTATCTCCTGTTAATTCCCCTTACATAATTCTCCACTGCCTTAACCAGGTATTGAACTCACACTCTTTTTCCACTGTGCCATGTGTCACCATTGCAGAGTGGAATAAAGGTGTTAGTTAGATCCAGTGACAGGACCCAAAGAGTGAGAGTTCAATACCTGCTTAAGGCGGTGGAGAATTTGGAGCGGGGAATTGACAGGAGATAACTGATAACTGACATCCATTAGGCATGGCACGTGGAACTAGAACAGTCTATCACAGTGAGCGAAATAAAGTATTCAGTTGGACATTCCAACCACCTGAAGAAGGCCGGAGCGTACAACGGCCGAAACGTTGTAATAAATATGGCAATAAAGATGAGGACAATAGCCGGAATAATGTAAATAGTGTACATAATACCTCATCTCAGAAATATAGACAGATACAGAAGGGCCGAAACGTTGTAATAAATATGGCAATAAAGATGAGGACAATAGCCGGAATAATGTAAATAGTGTACATAATACCTCATCTCAGAAATATAGACAGATACTGAAGGGCCGAAACATTGTAATAAATATGGCAACAAAGATGAGGACAATAGTCCGAATAATGTAAATAGTGTACATAATACCCCATCTCAGAAACATAGACAGATACTGAAGGGCCGAAACGTTGTAATAAATATGGCAACAAAGGTGAGGACAATAGTCCGAATAATGTAAATAGTGTACATAATACCTCATCTCAGAAATATAGACAGATACTGAAGGGTCGAAACTTTGTAATAAATATGGAGATTCATTGTGCAATTCACTTGACTCACTTCTAGCAGTTGACTACTACTTCTGGCGAATCTTATATGTGTTGTTCTTGTCCTAATTATTATCGTTCATTATCAACCTTCGTTTGATTATTCTATTCAGTAACCTTGCCTAGGTTACAACTTAAATCTCTTTACAATTTAAAAATTATATTACAAAGGCAATTGATGAGATATCTTAATCAGATTTGTTCTTTGTACTCAGTCGTTTTCAAAGGTTTTCATGTTATTACATTTGTGTAGTTCAGTTATCCTGTTGATGAGAGAGGTACTGTTAAATGAACCCCTAATAATAGCTAATCCTCAAGAATAGGCACAATGTGTGTCATGGTTTATTGAAACTAAGTCGTATACACAGACCCAGCGAAACTGTAGAATTAAATATGGAAGCAAGCCACCTTTACGTCCGGCAATCCGTACATGGCGCAAGAAATTTATGGAGACAAGGGCAGTGTGGGATCAGGAGAAGTGTGGACGACCGAGAACATCTGAGGAAAACATCGGCCATGTCAATCGAGTGTCGTCTTGATATGCTGCGTACGATTAATGGCGTCCATATAGAGGTGTATTAAATTAGTTTAAAAAGAAATCAATATCTACCCCTCATTTTGTAACAATTTTTGCATATTTGTATGTTTATTTACCTTTGTAATATTTTTTTTTAATTGTAAAGAGACTTTAAGACTACTTGTATATTGTTTGCGTATATTATTTTGCGCTGTTTTTTTTTCTGCTGTTTTTTATTTATTTATTTATTTACACTTAACCATGGCCAATCGCTTCACAAAACGCATGCGTATATATTCATGCAAATGCCGGCGTGTCTCTGGGCACGGAATGACGAACGGACTCGACTCTAGCTCTACTGGTAGACAGCGTTTCTTACATAAAGGTTTGTTGGATGAGATAAGCTAGGTTTTTTTTAGAGTCGTTTATAAACCTTTAAAAAAAAACCAAAAACGTTTCTTTTCGGACTACAGCACCTTATCCGAACGCAGTCGGCTGGATCCCTTTTAGTCCGGAGTAGAAGCTTTTAGTTCGAAAGAAGCGATTGATATTGGCTCTGAAATAATTTTCTGTTGGCTTTCAATTCCCAACGTGACACAATGAAGTAACCATCTTAATTTCGCATTTTCCATTTAAAAGTGAAAGACGAAGAAAAAAAGAATTCGTTAGGGCTTAACAAAGCCAACCGCCATCTTGTATTTGGCCGTAACTATTTGATAAATGTTAAGTTTGTCTGGCAACAGCAAAATAATGATAAAAAAAAACTGCTGGTCGTTTGATTGCAGTCCCTCGTTAATTTGGTGATATTTTCAAATTAGATGTGACATTTTATCCAGTCGGATCAAATAACTGTTATAAGATCCCAGATGTCACTTGATTTATAGGGCCAGGTTTTTGGCATGTTCTGCGAAAAATCGCTTATTGGGCTTCACGTTGTCTGCGTTTCACAATCGCCTCACCGGTATCCGAGCTTTTTTCGGGCCATAAATCAGTGCTTCGTTCGAGGGATAACCAATCATTTACACAGGGCCTGATTAGATGAAGATCTCTCTCGTATATATATATATATATATATATATATATATATATATATATATATATATATATACACTAAAGTTCAAAAGTTTGAAGGCACCATCAGAATTAGCATAGGACGAACTTGACAGATCAGTAAAAAAAAAAATGAAAAAGATCTCTTAGCGTAATTGAAAAAAGAATGGAATCATTTATCAAATTAATACTTTAATAAACGTTTATATATATATATATATATATATATATATATATATATACTAAAGTTCAAAAGTTTGAAGCCACCATCAGATTTAGCATAGGATGAACTTGACAGATGAGTAAAAAAAAAGAATAAAATGAAAAAGATCTCTTAGAGTCATTGAAAAAAAAGAATGGAATCATTTCTCAAACTAATACTTTAATAAACGTTTATATATATATATATATATATATATATATATATATATATAACTACGATCCTAAAGATCCACGTAAACGTAAACTTACCTAGATTTCACCTACATGGATCGTCAGGGCAAGATGTCTAAAGAGGTAAAATTCGAGCAAATTATATATAGCCTACCACATACAAACAACCAGTTACTGTTTTAATTTAAGTTACTGTTTTAATTTTTTTTTTTTGTTAGTCACGTGGTCATGGTTGTTTTGATGTTGTAAGCCATATATATTTTGCTGCCTCTTTAGGTTCATAGTTAGATTTGGTCTACTTAGTGTATTGAGCACTTTACATAGTTGCTTTTAGTTTACTCGTTTTGGAGGTTTTTTTCTTTGGACTCTGAGCTTAGATTCTGGACGATTGTTTTCGCCTGAATTACATGTTCTTAGTTCTTTCTTTTTTTTATATTCCTTATTTTTTCCTTGGGCATTGGATTGTTCCTTCACAAAGAACTTGACAAATGAGTAAAAAAATAAGAATAAAATGAAAAAGATCTCTTAGAGTCATTGAAAAAAGAATGGAATCATTTCTCAAAAGATCTTTTGAGAAATGATTCCATTCTTGACGTAAGTTTTTTCCAGACAAGTATAATTACTTATATTTATATTTTATATATATATATATATATATATATATATATATATATATATATATATACTTGTTACTATATATAGTATATAATTTCTTTTTTAGTGTACAAGTGCAATATATATTTCTTTTTAGTGTACAAGTGCAATATTGGTCTGGATAACTTGGAGACTCCAGCTGAAGACCTGGTTTCTTGGAGAGCTGGTATTGCTGTTGGCGTCAAGATCTTCCACGAGGCATCACAAAAATATGCAGAATTGAAGAGAGGAGTTTGAAAACAACCCCTGAAGTGCCATGAGGTGCCAACCTAGCCATGTGCACAATGCAATCGGATAGGTCTATCCAAGGGAGGTGATCTCAGTCACCAGAAGTCACACCAACACCAACAGTCTATTGCATATGATGATTTCTTACTGGCATGCTTTGAATGCTAGAGTATGCAAGTCCAGGTCGGGTTTGACAGGCATATAAAAAGACACATTGGAAGTGATAATGATCAAAGTCAACTTCCACCACCCGTAGATGATTTGATACACCACATATGTAACAAGAAACGCAGATAGATATCTGGCTTTATGAGCCACTGTCGTTCACACAACAGTGTTGTGGGAGGGAGTTTAACTGATAGACTGGACATGTCAGTGATGGTCATACTCGCTTTGTGGAGTAATGGATATCGGCTTGGATTGAGGAATCGGAGAGCCGAGTTCGAATTCCAGTCGAATCCATTACATTCACTTACGTGCTAATACCCTTGGTGCACCAGGTCTCTGTATTCGGCCCTTCAAAAAGTGTGGGGAAAGTTTCCTAAAAAGAATGAGATGGAAAGTCCACTTTTTAAACCGGGACCTTCACAATAACAACACACTTAAGAAGGAAAAATACGGCTTCAAAACAAAAAAATGCCCCCCCACCACAACAAAAAGAATTAGACGATTTCGAGAAAGACTTAACTGGCCTAGTTAGAAACATAAAATTCCACAAAAAACAAGATGCATTCCAAAAAAAACTAAAAGCAGATATAACTAAAATAAACAATTCAGCAAGTGTATTTATCGCCGCTGACAAAACGAGAAATTTATACAAACTAAGCCCTCCTACACACAATAAATTACTCAAGAACAACATAACCAAAACATACAAAAAGGCACCCCAAACAACAGAAT